AATTTGCTCTGTAAATTCACCCAAATCACAATAATAATAATAATAATAATAAAAAGAATATAACCAAGCAACTATTCCATCAAGGCTTCCATTTCCCACGGCAGTTCTAATTCAACTCTGCCATTGGTTCCATTCTCAAAAATGTAGGGGAGAAAGACATCTAGGCCCAGACTGCATGTCCCAATCCTGCTGTGAATGAGTGTTCTTTCTCCTTAAAGCAGAGCCTGTGTGCCTTCCCCTCTGGCCCCGACCTGTGATATGGGATAAGATTCCAAGTAATACTGAAAACTGAATGGAAAGGCTCTGAAATGGAAAGTCAAGGTTAAGTTCTAAAATGACATTGGAAAGGTTTTTATCGTAACATTAGAGGAAGAAAAAAAGTCAAAGTCCATCAAGTAGGAGTTACTGGTTGTGCATGTAATGAAGAAGGGGACAGAGAAGAGGCAGATGGGACACCAGGACTTGAGAGGTCTTTAATAGCCCTGAGCCTGGATTTGCAGGAAGGAGACTGCAGAAACTGGGGTAGCAATCTGTGCAACAACTCCTGAAGCTCCTGCTTCACCATTAGAGCCATTTCCTGAATGCTAAGTCCCTATGAAAGACCTATAGTGAGATAGGGTCACAGGGCTGTGGCCCTTGAATAGGGTTTGCAGACTGCATCCCCGTGGCCCCAGGGAAGAAGGAGGCTCAGCTCACTGGACAGAACTCTGGCTCCCCTGTCCATGAAACTGAAAGTAAAAATAGTACTATAGTGTGAGTGGGTTCTCCAGCACACAGTCTGGTCTGAGTCCTAGCTCCAGCAGTTATTTTGAGCTTTGAGACCCATACTCAAGCTACTCATCCTCTCTGAGCCTCATTTCCTTCTCTGTAAAACTAAGGGTAATAATAGTTGCCTCACAGGATTGTTGAGAATTAAATGAATAATATATTTAAAGTGCTTGAAAAAGAATCTGGCACATAGTAAGCCTATAATACATTTTAGCTATTATTTGTTTATTGCTTTTATTGTTGTTTAGATACTGGAATTCTCATAAAATGCTCTTTTTTCGGGGGAGTTCCTTCAAAAACAAAGTTGAAAACCACTAGCAGAAATTAAAAAAAAAACATTTTAAGTGCTTTTACTTAAAAATAATTAATCCAGCAACCATGAACACACAGAACAGGGGCTAACATTTACTGAGCACCTGTGATGTATCAGACACTCTGCCACGTGCTTCACACCTCCACACCTCACTTAATTGTAATAACACTATATTACTATTATCTTCATTTTACAAGTGAGGGAACTGTGGCAGAGAAGTTCAGTGACACAATAGTCCAGAGCCAAGATCTGCAACCTGAACAGAATGTCTTCAGAGTCCATACAGGTCCTCAATGCTATACATACCACCCATTTTGTCCTTTTAAATAAGATCATGAAGACCGAAAATAACAGACATAAAGTGCTTGGATTCCTCTGTGAAAAGTCATTGTTTCCATGGATGAAGGAAGAGGTGGACAGCAGCCTTGCTTGCTATCAAACAATGATCTGCTATGTTGTGATATAATGGTTACATTAAACAAAGAAACAAAAATCCACTCCAGCTAATGCTGTTTCTGACAATTCATTCATTCAGTCAGTTGCCTAGTTCCCAAAGACTCCTAGAAAGTTAAGGCAGACACTAGGGAAGGCCTGGGAAAACACAGGTAAGCAGTACCTGGTCCCTCCCAGGCCAGTGAGAGAGACAGTGGCAGTGCCCAATCAGTACTGAACAGCTAGAGAAGTACCCTAATGGTGCTGCCAGATGGGTGAGGGGTCCTGAAGTAGGCAACCATGCTCCCTGAGATGGTCAGGAGGATATCCCCCATTCCCATCTGTCTCCATTTAAATACTTCTAGGCCTGTGACAAGTCGGGGAGACAGTCATCCTTTAGGCCCCTGGTTCCACTTGCACTCACTCCCTTCAAGGAAGAGGAATCAGTCAACCAGGAATTCGATTCCTTCGTCCAATCACAAAAGCCTGAGTTTTGGAGTTATACATGACTCTTTACCAATTCCAACACTCTCATTTAGAAATGTGAAACCTGGGATCCCAGAGGGGAAAGACTTGCTGAAGGTGTTATTGCAGGCTCCTTACCTCCCAGTCCAGAGCCTCCCACCCCACCACCCTTGGCAAGATCCGTAGACCCCCAGCTCACGCCAGCTGTTCACCAAACCCCAACTCTGAGGTCAGGATGTGACCTGCCTCACAACTAGAGCCTCACCTCCATCATCTCAAAGATGCTCTCTGGGTCCAAGCTGCCCTTCCCAACTTTCCTCATGCATGTCACGACCCCCTTGCTGGTCACAGACACCAACAAGCTCGCCAAGGAGCAGGCTTCCTCCTGAAGAGTGGCATCTACCACGTGCCGACAGCCAATCTGCAGAGTCGGGGCAGCACAGTACACACATGGGTAAACACACATCCAGATCACCACCCCTGTACTACCTCATGGTGGGAAAATCCATACCAGGCAAAGGGCCTGCATCACCCATTGAAGACCTTATGTTAGATTCTGCTCACATGTAAACTATCTGAAAAGAACGTTATGCAATCCTATTGTAGGCCATGGTGTGAGCAGTCTAACAGAAATACTAAATGGCAACATGGGCAGTTGGCTCTAGAACTGTAACTCAGAGACCATTCAAGTCTGGGGCCATCATAATGGATTGAATTGTGTCCCCCAAAATATGTGTG